GCAAATTTTACAAGATAGTTTGGGGTTTACTGAGAATCCCTGCACTGGAACAACAAAGAGCAACAGAAGGGATTGTAAAAACAGAACTAAAAAGTCAGCTGTGTGGTAAATCAAAGAATCACAGAATATCCTGGCTTGGAAGGGACACACAAGGATCATTAAACTCTAACCCCTGGCTTACACAGGACAGCCCCAAATCCCACCCTGTGCCTGAGAGTGCTGTCCAAACCAAAGTGGGATGCAAACCTCGAGGCTGGAAGAGAGAGGTCCTGTGGCAGAATGAGCTCATCTCACATCTCAGAATGCAAAGACTTGAAACAAAAGAAGGCAGATTTTCTTGAGCTGTGATTATTTTTAGAGTTAGTAAACTTGAGTGAATTTAGTTTAGAATCTTCAAACAGAATATACATTCACATATAGTGTATTTATTTATGTTAGAGAGAATAGGAAAAACAGGTAATGTCAAGTTTTTAAAGTCAACTTTTGCCTTGATTAAACAAACTTCTAGACTAAGAGATTTTTTTACTGATCTTTTTTCCCCAAAGAAATTATAACTGGAATTTTGATCCAAAAATAACACAGGAAACAATCAGAGAGAAGGAACTGCATTTTGTGTGATTTAGGAGTGCAGAGGCAAACTCCAGCAGCAGCCAGTGCATTTACTGATACTGATGGTTTCTCAGTGCCCATCATCTGCTGCATGTGGCTTTTCTCTGCCCTTGCATTATCAAGGAGTGTGACACCTATTACTGAGTTTTTCTTTGCAAATGATCTCTGATGAGAAATGTGAAATGGTGATGGGAAACTGAATGACACAAACAAGGTGTGACATTTAAAAATTAGTCCTGAATTTGTGGGGTTTTTTTAATCCCACTGAAGGGCCTTGGCTGTGAGACTGTCTCTTTTCTCAAGGACACAGGGATACAGCAACTCAGGAGAGCCACTCTCTTCCAAAACCAGTGCATCTTGAATTTCCTTGACCTTTAACAGTTAAATAAGTCTCTACATATTGCAGCTTCCTCACAGGAAGATCCAGAGGAATATTTTTACTTCTAGGCTTGCTATCTGCTAGACGTATTTATCTAGACTTCTACATTAAGAGTATCAGAGTTTGAGAGCAAAAACATTCAAACTGATCAAAATAAAGATGGACTTACCCAATTCTACTCGAATAGCCTCAGAATGTGTTATCTGGTCTGCACATAATGTGTAGAGCAGGCCCAGTGCTAACCACAGGGTCTGTGAGTAACACAGGGAGGATGGCCAAGGAAAGGGAGAACTCCAAGAAACTTGCTTCCAAAATTTGGGAATAACATGACTATGTCAGGGAACTGATGTAGAAGTGAATTCCAGAACAATTTTCCAAGTGATTCCCTAATATCAGAAAGAGCTGTTTGCCAACAAATGAAATGGGGGTATTTTGACCCAGATTCTGTTCCTTGACGCGGCAGAGAGATGGAATGGAATTTTTTACACTTCTAACAGTGTTTGATGGCCTCAAAATGGTTAACTAATGATAATAAATCTGTACTTAAAATGTAATTCAGTTCTGTAATTATATTTCTTATGCATGGAGACAGAAATAAACTAGAGGAAGAACCTATTAGCCCTTTTGCATGTATAATTGAACATGTTTGATATTACTGGGTAACCTTTGTAAGCAACTGGCTTTGAGTTTATGCAAAGAGGTGAACACTTTGAATACATAAATAACAATAAGAGCAGATAGGTTTTCGATTTTGTATTCTGTTCTTTTCTTGTTTGTGTCTGTTAGATGCAGTCAGACATCCCTGGCTTTGTCTGGCTATCCATAGAAACATCTGAGAGATCTGACTTTTTGCAACATTTGGGTTCAGTAATGAATAAGAACTGACATCAAATATCAATATTATTGGCCCAGCTAAATGGTAGCTGACATCCAACTGGACTGCTGAGGAGGTAAACAAAATTGAAATTTTGTTTTTGTTTAAAAACTGTCTGACATTATTTGCCCTTCAGTAAATCAATGGAGGAATGACCTAGATGCTGCTTGCATTTTGGCCTGGGGAGGTAAAATTGGGCAGTTGTTCTCAAGTGTATTTTTTATAGTCTTTTAGGTTTTCCTAATATAACCAGTAATTCTAAAAATATTTTTGTTTGTTTTGGGGTTTTTGAGGGTTTATTTTTGTTTTAGGGAAACTTGGAAACCAGTGTAATGATTCCTAAACCTTCAGATATGACACAAACACAGCATGGCAGACACTTGGCATACTTTTATTTGGACACAAACACATATACACACACACATAAGGGAGCAAACCTTGTTCTACATTAAATTCATGACTCACCCAAGCATCTGTAGTCTTTATACTTCATTAGCATAGGTGATTTACCATTGCAAAGGAGGTACAGAGCTTGCATGAAATACAGTTTGGGCCATACCCCAGTGCAAAATAAATACTTGAAACATTTTTCTCTATGAGGTTATTGTGTTTTGGAAACGTGGGAGTAAAAGGGATGGCAACAGTAACTTTTAGGAGGAAAGATGCATTTTTCTATGTCCTCAATTCTAAAGCAACTATGTGAGTTTTGCTCAAATTTTCTCAAGCATTCTGCTGGCAGAGAGCTAGCTTGGAAAATGGCAGGATTTAAATGCTGCTGGAAGTGTTATCTGTTAAGTCCTGACACAACCACAAGTGCAGAGGTTTCTCCAGGGCACTGTGACTCCTGTTTCCCAGCAAGGCAGGACTCAACAAATAGGCACATTCCAGGTGCCAAGCTGGCAGTTCTGTTCCATAGAGAGCGGGCTAATTAGGGGATCTCTGTTCTAATAAGAGTTCTGGCTGCAAACCTTGCCCACTTAACAAAAAAAAACCCCTATTAACTACAGTTTCAGAGGCATGGTGTAGTAAATAACTCAGATTGAATCAGTTTCACAGAGCTTAATGAGGATTTATTCAATTTGTATAAATGCATAATTCTTTTTTAGCTTCTTCTTCACACAATACTCTTCACCAAAAATAGCCCTTAATATTTGGACACATTGCCTGGATGGCTTTCTGATCTTACTAGAAAATTCATTCCTTGTTCTTTTATAATTAGAATTTAATATTTTTTCTGAACTCCTTTTGGCACCAAGCAGCCTGAGACAGGATTGCCACAAGCCCACTGAAGTGATGAAGGAGCCCACTCAAACTGACCTGTGTCCCAGCAGAAAAAGGAGTCAATCCCTTGTGATCTCCCACCATCACAGCTCTGAACCCACAGAGTGTGACCATGTAGGCAACAATTCTGGCAAAGGGATGTGCAGACCCGTGACTTTAGGATATAAGAAAATACATAAATAAACAAACAAATAATTTTTAAAAATCTAAGTAGGGTTTTTTCAGCAATCAGCCTTCAGTTTTGTCATTGTAGACTTCCTAGGCCAGGTATAAGAATTAGGTTGGACACCCTGGTAGTAATGTTGCACTTTGTCCAAACAATCCATGATCAATGTCCAAAATATTTTCCATGAAAGTATTGTTGAAAATATAACTGTTTCTATAAAAATATTTTTCCTCCTAAAAGATGTACTTTTAACAAAAATATTGACACTCAAAACACCTTAATCAGCTTGCTTAGGGTGGAATATCTTAATTTTTTGGTGAGCAAGCACTAGAGGGTAAGAAAATGGTTCTCAAGTGCTATATTTGGCTGAAATATAGCACTTGCTTTGCTAGCAAACCAGTGGGACAATTGTTACTTGTATAACTCAGGGCCACTACTTAATTTTTCAATAGCAGTTACCTTATACAACTGCAACCACAGCCTCTGAAGTTATGTTCCTCACTCTCTTTGACCAGGGCTGCACCAAACCAAATTTCCATTTTCACTAATTCAATCCCTGAGAATATCAACCATTGATTTTAGTCTAGAGTGAATGGAATATTCCTTACCAAAACTACATGCTTATCTGGAAGGTTATCAGCACATGGTCCTTCAGCATCCTGCTAATCATTACAGGTCACATGAGGCCCTTTGTAAATTAATACCCACATTAAAGACAGTGCTGTGGTATCTCTGCAGTGTTTCCCTTGCCACGCTTGCTCCTGTTAAATACTCTCTGTTCCCCACCACAGTGTCTCAGGGCACTGAGAGGCAGGTTGTGCCTGTCAAATACAGACAGATGCACATGGCCAAGAAAGAATTAAGATGCCTTGGGAATTCCAGTTCCCCTCCCTGACATGAGCTTATCCCATACCTTCTGCTGTGCCAGCCCCTGGGGGTTGCCCTACAAACACACAGGGCTGGCAGAGCAGTTGGCAAAGCAGCAGCTGATACTGAGCAAGGGGAGAATATTCAGGATCTCCTGCAGGAGAAATTAGTACCTTGTTCTGTCTGTAATGAAGGTGTCAGTGGCAGCACAGGGAGCAGGAACACCACAAAGTTATTTTTCAGGAAAGATGGTCTCTGAGAGAAAAAGCCGCTAGTGGCAGCAGAAACCAGCACATGCCTCAGCATTTCCACATGTGTTTTAAAGAGCAGTGTGGCCAGGAGAGCTGCAGGAATCACACATCACAAATGTTTGGGTCATTTCAGATTATTTCATATGGCCTCTAAGAGCCATTTAGGAGAAATTCCTCCCCTTCCAAAGTTACCATTCAGACAGCAGTCTGTCACCAATCCCGGTCAAAATGTCCTTTCAGACAACAACTATAAATTAACCAGCCAGGTTCCCCTAAAAACTAACCAAAAATTACATTTAAATAAAGTAATCAGCGATCTCAACAGAGGAGGATGGCTTAGACATCATACAATGATCAAAGGAGGAAGGAGGGAGCAGCAAGGAGGGGGCAGCTCTATTGTAACAGGCACTGGGGCTCTGGTCTGGCTGGCAGGTGGAGCCACTCTGAGCCACCACTGATGCTGAATCCAGCCCCAGAGCTCTCTGTGTCACCAAGGAGCAGGACAGTATGGGCCAGAGCAAGGAACATGATGGTTAAAGGGAAGAAAAAAGGAAATTCACATGCAGAACTTACCTTCTTGTTGAATGTAGCGTGATTACAGGAATGCACATGACCCTGGAATGTGTAAACACGGAGACCCTAGGAATGAAACAAAAAGAGAGCATTTACATAAGTTACAGCAATGTAAGTAATTCTGTAGCCTTGGTGTCAACAGGAAGACCTTGATTTTATGACTGTGTGAAAATCAAGACACACTGTGTGCTAAAAGGCCAGCTCCTGGTTGCTAGAACAGGAATGCATTTTGCACTATTGCTAAGGATGTATCTCCTTACTAGCCAGCAGGAAAGGTGCATTCAAATATCCCCAAGTAAATCCATCTCCCTGGCTGGAAGGCTGGAATTAGAAGGGGGAATCACTCCTTCCACAACACTTAGCTCTTGCTCTCAGGCAGTGAGTGAGTACATGTCTCTTGATATTCCTCACCCATCATTAAAGGCTTCCTTAAGGAATCAGAGGCATGAAATCAAAATTAATTATCTTTTGTCATTTCCCACATTAAGCCACAAGTGACCTACATAGTGCAGTAACATATGTCAGATGTCATCACTGATATTTGGCTTGTTCTCTCAGTACAGGAGCCATCCAAGCACAGTATCTCCTAAAAAACCTGAAATCTTCAGGATGCTAAGACAGGAGTATTGAAAATAGATGCCCTTCTCTGTTTTCATAAGAAACCACTGGCTTCATGGGTTAAAAAATACTTCCTGTTAAAAGTGAAGCCCAGCTTGGAGCAGTGCAATCATATGCTGAAGAACAAATTTTCACTCTAAGAAAGCATTTTATTAACACTGCAATTGAAAGACAGTTTGTTGCATTTTTCTGGAGAGTTGAAAAAACTCAAACACAAGGTCTGAAATTCCACAATTCATCCTGGTCTTGGCTAAATCTCAGGAGCAGGGGTAACATAGGTTAATCACATCTCTGCCATGCTTTTGGAGTTTATATCAGCTTAATCCCATTTTTATTTTCCTGATGAAAAAAAAAAGAAATCACTCCTACTCTGACATAAGAAATTGGAATTTTCTTTTTCACTGACAAAACCTCCTACATTTTATCACCAGCATGTCTAGCAGCATATTCTCACTGCTTGCAACAAGCCCTTTCAGAAAGCAGTTAATGAGGTTTGACCACAAAGTAATTCTGGAGGGACACTCCTCGATAATGCTCTGTGGTTCATATTATATCTCTGAACCACTTAGGAGAACTCAGTCCAACAAAGCAGCAGTTGAAGGGGATTACACTGTTGTTGTAAATATCTCAGGGGTTAAGAGCAAAGAGGGAAAGGAGCTGTTGAGGCTGAAGAGCAGTGTTGACGCTGGAACATATGGGGATTCATTATCTGCAGATAAATTCCAGTGGAAAATTAGAAGACAGTTCTTGAACAGTGAGATACAGAAACTTACTCAGCTCCAAGTAGTGGGGATGAAAAAAATCTCATTACTATAAGAAGCTGCTTGAAAAGTCTGGAAATAAATGACCTTCTCCTGTATGTGATCTTTTGCTGGGACTTGGAGACCAAGGAGGCTCTTTCCAGTCTTGCTCATATGGCATTAGAATACAAATCTCTGATAAAGCCCAGCATTTAGTGCTGCACAGAATTCCTTTTGTTTAAAAAAATGTCACCCAAAGAAGGGAGCAGGCAACTTTGGCAAGTGCCATTTTGTATCTCATTGTGTTTTGCATTTACCTCTCTTGTGCTGAAGTAATTTCTGCTCCAAGGCCACATGGCTATTGTGATCATACTAGGAAATTGGTATTATTCCCATGAAAGGATTGCAAGGCAACAAGAGAAAAAGGCTCTGAACTATTAAAAGCTCTGTATTTAAAGAGCACACCATCCACTTTAAGCATAAAAAGGTCACCACAGCACAGTTCTTGAGTCCTCCCTAGTTTTCAACAGTTATGAGGGTAAAGAGTGCTAAAAAACCCACTCCAAAACCCCTGCATATTTATAAGTTCAATATTAGATATAGGCTGGATAACAGGGAAAGGTTCTTCCCCCAGAGGATGCTGGGGCACTGACCAGGCTCCCCAGGGAATGGGCACAGCACCAAACCTGACAGAGCCCAAGGAATGTATGGACAACACTCCCAGGGACAGGGTGGGATTGCTGGGGTGTCTGTGCAGGGCCAGGAGCTGGATTGATGATCCCAGTGGATCCCTTCCAGCCCAGCAGATTCTGTGATTCTGTGATTTCTAAGTAATAAAACATGAACCAATAAATGCTGATACAAGGAAAATGTAAACAATTACTTTTTAATTACAAATTCACTGCTGGAATAGAAATGCGATTACACAAAATTCCCTAAGACTGACAGGCAAATTAATTTGATAAAGGTAAGAGGATAGGAGACAAAGATAACATAAGCAGTCTAGTGAGAAAAAGTGTCAAGGACATGAGATATATCTTGTGGCCCAGCAGCGATATCGATTGCACCCAGCCCATGGTAACAAACCAAGTGTGGGTGCATGTTTTGCATGTTAAAAGTAGCCCTTGTAAAATAACTGCTGCTCAGCAGGGTGTACTATTTACCCTCAGACACTCTCAAATACCAGTACACACACACACTAACCTTTCCACAAACACAGAAAAAGCATTCCACAAACCAGTGGAAAACAGAAAACCACATGGATGCCCCACAAAATGGATGTTAACTTTCAGCTTTCCCTCCATAAGTCAATTCAGTATAAGCCCTCTGAACAGGATTTTAATAAAAGTAATAATAATGATAATAAAAGTAGACAAAGATAATAAAAAGAGACAAAGGTAATGGTTCTGAAAAGTGTTTCTCAATACTATCAGAACTTAATTTCCAAAATGCCACTTTATTTTTATTCAGTGCACAGCTTGGGTTTTCTTTACCAACAATGGGAAATCTGAGTTTTGCAAACATAAAAACAAATCTAGAAAGCTACTACTTAACTGTGGCTCAGGAAAAAAACAAATAGTAATAGACATTCTGTGGGCCAGAATTCAAGCTAACACCGAGCTTTCAGCACCAAGAGCTCAGCAGTAAGTCGGTGAAATCCCTTTTGCACAGGCATTCTGCTTTTCAGAAAAATTTAATTTTTTAAAATTATAAATTATATTTAATTATAATTATATTTAATTATAAAATAATCCACTGTAGCACCACCAATGCTTCATGCAGTGTGGAAATGAACAGGGTGCCCACAACCACTTGGGTGCATCTGCCATTTCAATGAATTTCTTTAGGATTCAAGTTGAGCAAGAACAAACATTTGGGACTTTTATCACAAGGAAAAGAGCAGGTAAAAAGAAGGAGATTGACATTATGACAGTTCTTAGTTAGGGGAAAATTATGGTTCTTTTCTGTAGCCTGAAGGTCTCACTGACCATCACCGTTTACAGAGGGAACAATCACAAACTGAGAGCAGGAACAGCAACAACACCAGAGCAGAACTCTGAAACTGGAAAAAGGCCCATTTCCCCCACCTCTAACCCATGGGGTCTATCCAGTCTCATTGCATGGGACACTCCAGCAGTATAAATCATGGAAAACACATTATTATTGTCAACTGAGTATTGATGGAAATATTAATGGAGGAAATCTGAGTTCCATTCCCTCCTTGAGCTATTGTCCAATTACATTAATAACCACACATTCTTCCTCTGCGGGAAATACACAGATTACAGCAACATTCAAAGAACACAAAATAAAAAGTGTTCTGCATCATTGAGGTTTTGGGGTTTTGAAATTATTATTCACACATACACACACATATAATTTTCCAATCTGAAATCCAGAAATTAACAGTAGAATCAATGGTTAGAAACACCCTGGCATTATGCTGTGGAGTCTATCAAGTTCTTAGCTTCCCCTGAACGCAGGTATTAATTGCCTGCCTTGGACTGGAGCTACCTAAAAAACTCCTGAGAGGGAAAACATTCCTTGGTTAGAATGAAATCTGGTATTGTGGAAAAGCAGCCTGATCCTTGGAGCTATGGATCTGCAAGCAGTAATCCTGCTGCAAAGGTAGTTAAACAAGGTTTCTAAATTCAAATTATTTTTTTGTTCCTACTTTCAAAGGATAAAAGCCCAAGATTTGGGAATCAACAGTAAAATTTTGCTGTAAATCCTCCCTATTGTGTATCCACATAGATACAGGAATACCAGGGTAAGACAAGACGGGATGAAGACAATCATAATTAATTTTCTTCTTTGCTTCTTTGCATTGCAATAATTAAGTTCAACCTTTAACTATGTAACACAGCAGCTGAATCCTCCTATACTTTTTTTTTTTTTAAATCACCATTTCAGCAGCAACAAAATAAAACCCCCAAACTTAACAAACCATACTGCAAGTACTTCTGGAGAAAACACACAGCCAAAACCAGTAGGGCATCATGTTTCTCAAATTCTGCTCTTTTGTTTTTCTTTCTGGATTTTGAATGCCTGGCTGTACATGAACACCTGACACGAACAAACTTACTTTGCAAGTCCAGAATCAGGATAACAAATCCATTACATCAAGCTGGGTGTAATATCCTTGTCACAATAGGTAATTATGAGCTTGATATGAGCTTTTAGATAACATTTGAGTGTGAGATTTATCTAAACAGTGTTTAAATAGGAGATTTATTTGTAATTTCTTGGTTCATTTAGAAATTAACTCAAAGAAATAATGTTCATTCAGAAGGACTAAACTGAGAAAAGTGTTCAAACCATGAAACACTCATCTGTGGAAATGTTCACCTTATTCTCTTTATTAAAAACAAACAAAACCACCCAACAGTTCTTCATGAAAGGTTTAATTGTATTTGGGGGAAAATTAAAGTTCTGAGCTTACACAGGTAGAATTTTCCCAGCAAATCAAACACTGTAATGCTTTGGAAGCTCCCTTGGCTGAACTTGAACTTTTCCTAAAGCAAGGAGTGTTCAGTGTACTGTGATTTCTGGCTACTGACTCACTGGGAAGCTCTAACCTCCTTCCTTGTTGGACCTGTACAAGAGTTTCCATTTTCATAGCAAAGTGCAAAATTAAAATTGTGCATCCTTCTTATTCCCATGCCTTATCCACAACATGGCCTGTCAGCCTCAGCCAGCACAGGGGAG